CACTCCCCCCCATATTCTGGGGGCCCCTGTGCTGCGGACTACTCCCCCTCCATAATCTGGGGGTCCCTGTGCTGCAGCCCACCCCCGCTCCATACTCTGGGACCCCTGTGCTGTGGCCCACCCCCCCTCCATACTCTGGCGCCCCCTATGCTGTGGCCCACTCCCCCTCCATATTCTGGGGGTCCCTGTGCTGTGGCCCACCCCCCCCCCCATAGAACACCCCTGGCCTTGCCACTGTTCCCGACTAGTCTAGCTGCTCCCGCCATCCCCACACACACCGGCCAGTCTCTGCAGTCCCCTTCTGAGCGATGACTAATGGCAGTAATAATAACAGAGTGGCTGATAAGCACCTGCTATGTGCCGGCCAGGTTCTCTTCTAAGTGGCCCATGCACATTACCTCTTGAATTCTCAAACACACTCAGGAGGCAGGTGGGTCCCTTCCTAATCCCCAGGGCACAGACTAGGTGACGGAGGCACAGCAGTGGCTGGCTGGGTCGGGACGGGACCCCAGGAGGCCGAGTCTGTGCTCAGGCGTATGCAGGTATCGGCCAGGCCTCCCTTCCTTTCTGGGAAACAGTGCAGCTTTGGCGGGGGCCCTGTGGACAGTGCCATCACATGTCACATGATCATATGACCAGCAGGAATGGCTGTCGCTGGTGGGGAGGAAGCCCAGAGGCCATGGGCAGCAGAGGCTGCAGGCTCCGGTCAGAGCCCCTTAGTGGATGGCCACCTCCTGGGACACACGGTGGCGTGACCGACAGTCCTGGGAGTGCCACCAGGCAGGCTGGCTCCAGGAGGGTCTCTAGGGACACTGTCACCTGTCACCATCCAGTTAGGGCCAGGGAGGAGGAGCGAAGGAGTGGGCACTGGGCAGGGTGCAGGATGGAGACAAAGGAGGCCTGGAGCTCAGCCTGGCATCTGGGCGCCGGTTCCCCGTCTACCCTGGGCTGGGCTGGGCTGGGCTGGCATCCGGGTGAGCTGGGTGAGCCCCCCCACCTGGTGCAAGCTGCTTTCCTGTCCTGGGTCACGTCCGGACACCCACTGGTGTCTGAAGCTTTCACACTTCAGAGGCTGCTGGGGCTTGGGTCCGGTCTGGGAACCCAGCTGCCGTGACTGCTGGGGGTGGAACTGAGCGGAGAGTCCAGCATCCCCTGCAGACGCAGAGCCAGGGGTCAGGCCGCCGCCATGCAGGTCTGCCCTGGGCATGGGGCTCACCACAGAGCTCTCTGCTGCCAGAACCCACTGCGGTCCCACAGGCCAAAGCCACAGCGAGCAGGCCACAGCTCCCGAGGCAGGTGGGCTCCTCTCTCTCTGCTGCTTGCGCACATACACATGCACACTCACACACACCTTCACACACACATTCATACACACACCCGCTGCTGGGGCGCCAGCGGCTCCTGTGCCCGAGTCCCACTGGAGCCCCAGCGTTTGCCTTGTCCCCGTGGGCCCTCCCCGTGCAGGGTGAGAGTATGGAGCTGGGACACCCTGCGGGCTGTCGACTTGCCACCTCACTCCCTTCTGTAGAGGAGGGACCGCTGGCAGCAGCCACCCCATGGTCTAGAACGTTAAGGGACCTAAGAAACTGTCTCGTCCAACCCCTTCCCTGGGCAGATGGGGGAGCTGAGGGCAGTGGGCTCCCTCCCTGGAACTGGCCCCTGCCTGCCGTTCGCAAGGGGGGCCCTGGCCCTTGAGAGGAGGTGGAGGGAGCAGGCCAGATGGATGCCTGGTTTGTGATGCCCCCGTGCCCCGCTGTTCCTGTCACCCGTGTGGCAAAGGGCGGTTGTGACATGCCTTTCACAGTCGCCATCTTCCTGAAAACTTGCAAGTCTGTGCCTCCCAGCGGACTGAGTTTCGCCCGGCTCCACGCGGGCTCGGAAGCAGTTGCCGTAGTCCTCGTTTCAAGTCGACGGTCCCCAATGAGACAGCGAAGGTAAGTCCCGACCGACCTTGGCGAGGAGGGAAAGAGCGCACGTGGTGCCCAGCTGCGGTCTGCTGGTTCGCTCCACAGACATTTACCGAGCACGCGCTCTGGGCCATCCCTGTGGCGTCTGAGGGCAGGGAGGGCGGCAGTGAGCAGAGCATGCCCTCGGGGCCTCACTCTCCCACTGCAGGACACAGGGGATCAGACAAGCCTGTGCCTTATGCAGAATGGGAGACGGCGTAAGTGCAGAGCAGGGTAGGCGACACGGGAAGGACAATTTTCAATTTGGGGGGGAGGTCGGAGAAGTTCTCATTAAGGCAACATTGAGAACAGACTGAAGGAGATGAGGGAGCAAGGTGGGAGAAGTGCAGAGGGAGCTGCAAGTGCAATGGGCCTGAGGCACCAAGCAGAGGGAGGCAGGAGTGGGCTGACGCCTCCAAGAACAGCGAGAAGGCCGGTGAGGCTGGAGTGAAGTGAGTGAGGAGCGGATATGGTGGGCACTGAGGCCCGAGCTGTGTGGGCCCCGGGGAACTGCCAGGCTCCGGTGTCCATCCTGTGCGAGGTGGTTTGGAGGGTTTGAGTAGAGAAGTATCCCATTCGGACTTGCAGCAGGATCACACTGCGACTGTGCTCGAGGCTGCTGCAGGAACCTGGGCAGGTCACGGTGGCGGCTTGGCCCAGGTGCTGACAGCGGAGGCGATGAGCAGTGCTCTGTCTGGACGTCTTCAGAAGGCAGGCCACAGACTTTGGCAACGTGAGGTGTGAGAGAGGAACACATCCCAGGAGGAACCCCAGGGCCGGGCAGAGCGCCTGCAGGGCAGGGCTGCTGAGATGGGAAGGTGGGCAGGTGTGGGGGCTGTCTGCGACATCTGGGCGTCAGCCAGGCGGAGGGGGCGAGCCACACTAGGCGACATCGCCTGCAGCTCAGTGGAGCAGGCCCAGTGCAGGTGTCTCACGTGGGGGCTGTCAGAGCACAGAGTACAGACGTGATTGTTAAAACTACAGCTCTGTGTGGGGTCACGGGGGACAGTAGGGGACAGCTAGCAGAGGAAAGGTCCAGGGCTGGAGGACGGGCATTCTGATGCAGGAGGCTGGGGAGATGAGGAGGAACCAGCCCTGGTGCAGAGAAGGAGCAGCCAGGGAGTGGGAGACGCCACGAGGCCTGTGCAGAAATGCGCCAGACAAGGAAGTGCACCACATGAGGAAGTGTGCCAGATGAGGAAGTGTGCCAGACCTGGAAGTGCACCAGGTGAGGAAGTGCCTCCAGGTGAGGAAGTGTCACCAGGTGAGGAAGTGCTCCAGGTGAGGAAGTGCTCCAGGTGAGGAAGTGCTCCAGGTGAGGAAGTGTCTCCAGGTGAGGAAGTGCTCCAGGTGAGGAAGTGCTCCAGGTGAGGAAGTGCTCCAGGTGAGGAAGTGCTCCAGGTGAGGAATTGTCTCCAGGTGAGGAATTGTCTCCAGGTGAGGAATTGTCTCCAGGTGAGGAAGTTCTCCAGGTGAGGAAGTTCTCCAGGTGAGGAAGTGTCACCAGGTGAGGAAGTGTCTCCAGGTGAGGAATTGTCTCCAGGTGAGGAAGTGCTCCAGGTGAGGAAGTGCTCCAGGTGAGGAAGTGCTCCAGGTGAGGAATTGTCTCCAGGTGAGGAAGTGCTCCAGGTGAGGAAGTGCTCCAGGTGAGGAAGTGCTCCAGGTGAGGAAGTGCTCCAGGTGAGGAATTGTCTCCTGGTGAGGAATTGTCTCCAGGTGAGGAAGTACACCTCCTCTGAGAGTCACTCCATCTGCGGAGGGGGCAAGAGACCTCAGAGGTGATTTGTTTTAACCGACACAGTGGCTCCCCATGGTGGAGCATCGGCACTGGGGGAGTGGGCAGGGCAGGGCTCCCCGTCCTTGCTGCGGGCGGCTGCCTCAAGGGAGAGCAGCCTTGTGTGGGCTGGGAGGCTGGGGGATGTTGGCCTCCTCCTCTTGCATTCAGCTCAAGGACCACAGAGGGCGTGGGGGCAACACACTGCCCTGGGTACCCTGTGTTGGCTCCTGAGCTGCTCAGGGGGATGGCTTCTTGTCACTGCCAGAACATCGCTTGATACATGCCGAGGAGGAGCAGTTTAAAAGGCTCCTCCCCCAACCCCAGCCCTGAGGCCTGTCTCCCTTCCGCCTCTCCCTTTGCGCACAGGCCGGGGTGGGGAGAGCAGGAGCCGCAGGGCCACCGAGCTGCGAGCCACGCAGGTAGGAGCTGGAGCATCAGGGCCGGCTGCTTGAAAGGAGAGCCTCGTGGACGTGGACGGGTGGCTCTTTCATGCAGGCTCCGCCCTGGCTGTGGGGCGCAACTTTCCATATCCGGATGCTGTCACTCACACAGCTGTGTCCGTCTGGGCGCTGACTTCCTTTGATATTCTGAGCCGCAGCCGGGAGCTCCGACCCAAATCCAGCTACACAGACTTGCACTTGCTCCTTGAGAGAGAGGCCGGTGACGTTTCAGAGCCACTCCATGCCTGGTGCACAAGCTGGCCGCGTGGGGGGTTAGGCACGCCTCCGAGCTGACTTACTTGAAACATAATTGCTCCTATTTCGCTCCCAGGACAGGTGTCACGATGGGTTGGAGTTATCCAACCCCAACGGGTATGTGCCCGTTTTCCTGCAATTAACAGTCTCGGTGTTCAGTTCAACTGCATTAGCCACACTCAAAAACTCCAGGGAAATACGATCCTTTGTTTCTAGTTCATCCGTGGGTGCTGGTTACCGCAAGCCAATCTTCAGAGTGGAAGTTTGTTGGGTCCCAAGGGGCCCCGGCCTTGGGATCTCAGTGGGCCCTCTTCAAATTGAGCTGACCATCATGAGATTATTGTGGCCATTATGACTCGCAAATACGGTTTCTTAAAGAGGAACAATTGCAGACCACTGAGCAGTTAGACTTTGCGTTGACTGAGGGAAGGAGAAGATGGAGGAAAGACCCTCCTGCTCAGATGTGGTCTTTTTTTTGGAGGAGTTGGTGGTGGGAGTTAAAGCTGAAAGGCCTTCGGTTGAGTAAGTCACTTTGCTTATCAGAGCCTCGGTTTCCCCACCTGTAAACATCAGAAAAGGACAGCAAAATGGGGCTGCTGCCCTGATTTGTGTGTCCTCCTGGAGCAGGACCATGCCGGTCTTCTCTGTGTCATTTTAATTTTAGTATATGTGCTGCTGAAGTGAGCACATAATTTTGTTTTTTAGAAAATAATCTTTTTGGGAATAAATCTAACCAAGAAGGTAAAAGACTTGGGCCCTGAAGACTACAAAGCATTGCGGAAAGAAGCTAAAGACACAAGTAAATGGAAAGACACCTGTGTTCAGGATGGGAAGCTTTAAAATTGTGAAGATGTCAATACCATCCAGAGCGGTCTGCAGATTCAATGTAATCCTACCGAACCCAACGGCATTTTCCTGCAGAAATAAAAACAGTCATCCTAAAAGTCACATGGAATCTCAAGGGACCCCAAATAGCCAAAACAATCTTGAAAAAGAACAAAGTTGGCAGACTCACATTTCTTGATTCAAAACATATTACAAATTTACAAAGCAGAGTGATACTGCCATTAAGACGCGCATTTAGATCAACGGAACAGAGCAGAGAGTCCAGAAATAAACCCTCATGTATGTGGTCAAATGACCTTCCACAAGGGGACCAAGAACGCTCCTGGGGAAAGGACAGTCTCTTCAACAAACGGTGCTGGGAAAACTGGGCATCCACACGCACAAGAATGAAGCTGGACCCTTACCTTACACGGTACACAAAAATCAACTAAAAATGGACTAAAGATCCAAACACAAGACCTAGAACTAGAAAACTCCTAGAATAAACACGGGGGAAAGCTTCCTGTAAGTTGTCTGTATCATGTACATAAAGCCCGGATGAAAGAGTCGCCCTTGCACGAGGCTCACCTTTCACCCAGCTGTCCCAAATCATCTATCTGATAAGGGACTGATAGCCAGAATTTATAAGAAACTTTACAGTTCAACAACAAACCCTCCCCAAAATAACCTGATTAAAATGTGGGCAAAGGACTTGAATAGACATTTCTCCAAAGAAGATACACAGATGGCCAACAGGCGCATGAAAAGATGCTCCACATCACTAATCATTAGAGAAATGCTAAGCAAAACCAAGATGAGATGATGTCACTTCACACCTGTTAGGACGGCCGTTATCAAAAAGATGACAGGTAACAAGTGTTGGTGGGGATGTGGAGAAAAGGGGAACCCTTGGGCACTATTGGTGGGAGTGTAAAATGGTGCAGCCACAATGGAAAACAGTATGGCAGCTCCTCAAAAAATTAAAAATAGGATTATCTAATGATCCAGCAAGTCCATCTCTAGGCACTGGGACCATGAATTCCAATATCCAAAAGAATCGAAAGCAGGGCCTCAAAGAGGTATTTGTACGCCCATGTTCACAGCAGAGTTACTTACAATGGCCGAGACATGGAAGCAACCTGTGTCCATGGACAGATGAATGGATGAACCAAATGTGGTCCATCCATACAAGGGAATATTATTCAGCCTTTAAAAAGAAGGAATCCTGACCCATGCTTTGACACAGATAGATCTTATGCTAAGTGTAATAATCCAGTCACAGAAAGACAGATACTGTGCTCTCACCCACGTGAAGCATCTGGAGTGGTCAAACCCACAGAGACAGAGAGTGGGGTGGGGGGGGCGGGGCCGGGGCGGAAGGAGTGGGGAGGTGGGTTTAATGGGGACAGAGTTTCGGTTTTGCAAGATGAAAAGCTTGGGAGATGCACAGCACAACCTGAATGGACTGAACAGCACACTTGGCGATGGTTAAGAGGGTAAATTTTGTGTTACGTGCATTTTACCATAATTAAAAATTTTTTAAAACCCCAAGATATTCCAAGCTAAAGTGAGGTAGTTTTCAGTAGAAACCAGGATTCTAAAGCTGACTTATTACTAATCTATGAGGAGCAGACATGAACGTATGAGGAATATAACAGTGCTTGGTGTTTCCCAGACACTAAAACACACACAAAACTCAAGGTACAGTTCTGTGAATAGTAAAGAAGTTCACATTTTAAGTCATGAAAAGACTTTTTTAATTGAATAAGGGCTCAGGAAAAAAACCCCATCTTCTCAGACCAAATCAAAACTAAGGGGCTTCGTGGTTTTGAATTGCTTTGCATGACTCCAGGGCCACAAGGCCATGAGGCCACCGGAGCGAAGCGTCTGGTGGGGGCAGTGCGCACTTCTGCCTGTTTCTCTGGTGACACTGAGCAGGCCCTGGGGGCTGTGTGGCTGGGAAGCTCAGGACAGACCTGTGGTTTGCAAACAGCGAAGGTCACTGCCATCCTGGCCCTCGAGGCCACGTGGGTGCCGGCTCAGCACTCCTGCGGATGCGGCCACCAACCACCCAGGGCTCCTCGGAAAGCTTTGTGGCTCTGAGAGGGGTCAGGATGTGCCCCGACCCCGCGAGGGGCTTCGGGGGTCTCTAGACACCACTGTCTCTCTCACGCTGCCTGCCCACCAGCCGCTGCAAGGGCTTCAAGCCATGTGAGGAGGCTGAGGGGGCGTGGTTCTCTGCAAGACCGTGGAAGCGGTCAGGGAGAGACATTCAGAGCTGAGTCTCTCCAAGGAGAAGGCCAATGACGAGAGCGAAATGCCAGTCACTGTGCAGGTGGAAGGAGGCAGGAGCTTGTCCCAGCCCCAGGGCTCTCCACGTCCTGCAGTTATGGGTTACGGGGGACGGCGGCCCGAGGGGGAGGGGTCAGTCCCCTGGAGAGGGACTCGGTGGCAGGCAACACGAGCAGGCGAGGAAGTCAAGGCCCGAGCGTTTCCCGAACCCTGAAGTCCCTGCTCGTGCTTCTCAGCCTTTGGCAGCTCTGCTCTTTCTTTTTTTCTTTTAATTTTATATGAGAAATACTCTTTATTTCTCTCAATTTTTACCCATTAATGATGCCAATCATAGTCTGGAATCTGAATGCAGAAGCACAGGCTTATAGCAACCTGTCTGATGTAATTTACAGGAATGCGTTTTATCGTAAAAGCTGGGGCCATTTGTACCTGGCAAGGGCCTGGCCATAATCATCTCTGTGCCTATATTTAGTAGAAAATTAAGCCAGTGTTTCTGGGCACTTAGTAGTTTTCCACTTCACATTGTATCGGTTAAACTTGGCTTTGGTTGTGCCAGATTTCGATCACAAGTATAAGAGTTATCATCTGATTATTCCACCTGCATTATGATTTTTATAAAAGGATTTCTGAATCAGGGTAAGGCTGTGGACATACTGCGTCTAGATTGTTCTTTTAAAAAACAAATGCAAACACATAGATATATTTACAGACAAAATAGATAAATGTGGTTTGTAGAATGTCCGGGTCAGTGCATTGATAAGGCTGGCGATCTGAAGACTGACCAATGGCCATCATCAGTTGTTAGGGGCTGAGTTGTGTCCCCCTAAAATTCGTAGGCTGAAGTCCTGCCCTCAGTATCTCAGATGTGACTGTATTTGGAGATGGGGCCTTTAAAGATGTGATTAAGCAAAAGTGAGGTTGTTAGGGTGGGCCCTGATCCAGTCTGACTGGTGTCCTGATAAGAAGAGGTGATAAGGACACACACTCACGCACAGAGGGACGACCATGTGAGGACACAGGGAGAAGATGGGCGTCTGTAAGCCAAGGAGAGAGGCCTCAGGAGGAACCAGTCCTGCCCACACCTTGATCTCAGCCCTCCAGCCTCCAGGAGCGGAGAGAGAACACATTTCTGTTGTCTAAGCTGCCCGTCTGGGTGCTTTGTGGGGCCTCCCCAGCAAACTGGTGCACAGGGGGGTGTGAGTGCCACGGGGGCCCCAGCGCTCTCTTCTCTCTGACTTTTCTCCTCCTGTGATGTGACAGATGCTGCTGGCAGAGAACACACTGTCCATTCCACCTTCTCCTCTGCATAGAATCCTGCTCTTCTTGGGGAACGGTGTGCTTTGCTAAACTCTTGACTTTCTGGCTGCCTTTCAGCTCTACACGCAGCATACAGGCAGAACCACTGCAGGTGGATGCCTCTTGTAGGAGAGAAGGCAGAGCCACCCCGGAGAGACCCCACCTTTATGCACGGCTCTGCTTTCCAGGGAACAGGGGTGTGCCCAGCCATGGTCTGTGACAATAAGGCACCCCATGGGAGACGGGGGCACAGAGGGATGGAAAGAGTGGTCCCTGACAGCCTTGTTTCTCAGCCTCACCTGTCCCCAGGCTTCTTCTTGTGAGAGAAATAGCAATTCATGCTTCTGTTACTTGTACCAAACCCTGTTATAACGGATGAGCGTCAGGAGCCGGGTAAAGTATGGCAAGCCCACGTCTGAACCTAGAGTAACATGGAGATAGCTGGAGAGGGTAGATTCAGGATGCGGTCACACAGGGAAAAATGGGAGCTCACTGGGCTGGAACTAGAATACATCTGCCAAGGTGGTGCGTGAAGGGGATGCGTGCAAAGCTTTGAAAAGTTGAAACTTTGGAATTCAAACAATTCCAACTCTCCTGGTCCTGTAGCTAAATAGCAACGGTGAGAAAGAAGTGAGAGTTTTAGGTGACGGAGATCAACGGCTCGACCGTGGGCTGACCCTTCTACAAAGCGAATTTGCTCTCAGGCTGGGGCGCTGGTCCCCAGCGGTCATGAGCGCTCTTTGCCCTGAGTGCTCAGGCCACAGGGGACGCCACGCTCCACGTGAGCGTCGTAATTTGAGCAACATGATGGCCATGCTCGCCCACTGGAGAGCGGCTGAGCGGTGAGGGATTCACAAGTTTCCACTGAGGGAATGGAGGGGGGCGGGAGGGACCCTCAGGGAGGCAGAGGTGGGCTCATTTTGTTTGGCCTTCAAGGGCAGGGCCGTGCAGCTGTTTATTCCTTCCTTACTGCCGGCTGGTGATCTGAGGCGTGGATGAGCCGTCTCTTACCTCTCTGTGTGTCCACGGGCGCTTGGGTTGTTTCCAGTTTGGGGTTGTCACGAATACTGATGCCGTGGACATTTGTGTACAAGTCTCTGTGTGGACGTTTGTCTTCCTTCCTCTTGGGCAGATACGTGGGAGCACATCAACTGGGCGGAGTCCGGAGGCTGGGAGCAGATCTGGAGGGGACACAGCAGCTCCTCTGAGGCTGGACGCCCTCGAGTGTGAGACGGAAGGAGCCTGGCGGGACCGCAGTGGGGGTGCTCGGGGTCG